CTCTAGAGATGAGAACACTGAGGCTCTGAACTACAAGGAAACTTGGCCGTGGTCAAACACAAGGGCAGCAGGAGTTGCTGATGGATGCCACATGAAGGAGTGGTGCTTGGTCTGCAGGTGAAAGCGCTGAGCTCCAGAGAGCAGATGTGGAGTGGAGACCAGAACTTGCCTCCCCTAGCCACAAGTTTTCTGCTGCTCCATGGACTGGCCTGGTTTAAGCCTATTGGGTCAAGGCAGTGCCATGGCCCATTGGTGTGGAATCAGCAGCCACAGGACCTCATCTGGGGCCCAGATCAGGGCTGGGTCTCCTGAAATCATTTGGTGATGCATACTGATGTGGCTCTATTGTGCACTGAGCCACAGAAGTGGGTGCCCAGACAAGTAGATTCCCTGTGGGGGGCAGCGGAAGGCCAGAGACCTTGGCTATGGAGCTCCAGACAGGAAGCACGTGGCCCCCAAATGATGCCTTCAGCCACTCAAGGTCATGCCTGTGACAAGATGCAAGGGGCACCCCTAACAGCATGGATGATCCTTAGCAGCAGGGCAACCCTATAGCAAGGATAATCTCTAACAGAGCCGGGGACCCCTCACAGCAGGGAGTCCCAAAGGCCACCAGGTCTCTCTTCAACTCTTGCTGCCCACAGGCCCTGATGTGTGATCTGCTGTCACAGAAACAGCCTAGACAGACACCAGCATCCTTAGCGTGGACACCAGGTGCTCTTGGCATCTTGGGAAGAGACCCAGTCTGGCTGGACTCCAGCAGTGTCCCCCTACTTCATTTCACCCTCTATCTATCCCCTGCCAGCCCACTCTATTGCTCCTCATACTGGGAAAAATAAACATTTTCTTCCAGCTAGGTACTGGCTGTTCAGAAGATGGTTGAAAAGCGTTGGGCCACTGGCAGCACTGAACTGGCCAGGAAAGGGCTTGGGTGGCTGAAGCTCATCTTTTCCTTCACTCAAAGAAGGAAGCCCTCTAAGCAGATACCAGTCACCAGGCAACCCAGAGAGGCCCTGGAGTTATTGGCTTCCTGTGCACCAGCACCTTCTGGCAGGGCCCATGCCCAAGGAGGTCTGGCACAGTATTCGGGCTACTCCAGAAGCACATAGTAGGGCATGCATGGCCTCAGATGTCTGTTGTCAGCAAAGCAGCCTGAGCAGAGGTATCCCACCATTCACAGATGCACACGGTCTACAGAGTCCCACTTGCATCCTCAGTGTTTGGCCCCAAGTGTTCAGACAGATGGATCCAAGCTACATGGCCATACAGACACACTCTTGCACACAGCCAGACACACTGTGTGCACACAGAGGTAGACACATGTTCGGTCTTGAGCCCCGCTGCTCAGATACACCTTTGGAGCAGTTGGGTCCTCTGCTGCCCTCGCATGCAGCCCCTCCTCCCCATGTACACACACACACACACACACACACACACACACACACTCGCCCAAACATCCTTCACCCCTCCTGACACAGCTCTGCTGCACTGCGGGGTGCTGAGGCACTTCGGGTGCTGAGGCACTTCAGAAAGACCCACTGCAGAGGGTAATGGTGGGCTTGGAACCACTACATCATGTGGCTGCAGTGGAGATTAATTGGACCCACAGCACCCAGCCTGTAGCCTGGCATCTCCATGGATGAAGTAAATGCCAGTGGAGTTAGAAGGGAGGGGAGCCCTGTGGTTGCTGAGAGCAAAGCCAGTCTCACAGCCTGAGCGGCATCTGGTTGCCACCGAGCTTGCTGCTGGATTCAGGGCTCACCCACTCTGCTTTGGGGTTCCCGCCTCACTGCTCTAAGTCTTTAGCGCAAATACCACCT